AGCTTCTACGATTAGCACCACTTTATGGCTGACAAAAGGGAGGCTTAGGAGAGAATAAACAGCATGCTAGAGATCATATGGATAGACATAGCAGCTTTGGAATTCAAAATGAGGCATGTCTGATTTTTAAATCTGTGATCTTAATCATATGATTTATTTCCTGCTAGTCTCTTGATTTCTGGCCTTTTGATTTATTCTCTATCCCTCTTAGATCTGATATTTACTGCTATTTCAGCAGTTCTGACCTTTGGTTCTCTAAATAATTATGATGAGTACCTTTCCTATTGTTATACTGCTTTTGCCTGCCTTGGTTAAATATCCCACTGTCTTGCTAAATATTTTGTACTACCTCTCGGAGCCTCATATTCTGCACTCTTCCACTTTCGAACAAACTGTACCTTTGGGCTGGTCACCCACTCTGTGCCCCAATTTCCTTATTTTGTAAATTAAGGAATTTTGATCATGGTCTTACAATTGCCTTTTAGATTTAAAAATTCAGCAAAATTGATGAAAATTCACATTTCTTTCCCCTTCAGCCTATGACACTTTTAGGTTACCAATATTTAATTTAAGCAATTTAATTTCCCTGGTACTAAAACCCATTAATCCTCCAAGAGTTGGGAGGTTTTCCATATTGTTGAACATTCTTTAGGTTATTAATTATAGTACATGACTTTTTATTACTTGATAGAATATCTTTAGATTAACATTTTACTACACAACAAAATGTTACCGATAACTTATCAGGTAGCTGCTTATTTCAGAATTATCAGTTACATGACACTTTAGTCAAATAAGCATGTACAAGTATTTAATGAATAACTCCTATATGCCATAGTCTGTGTTAGAAACACAGACTAGATTGTCAGAGACAATCAACACGTGGACCCAGCCTGCAAGAAGCTCTAGATTTTCTGGAAGAGATGTGTAAACCCATGAATCAACCTAAAAAATGCAGGTTAGTCTAAGAGCTAAATATAACAATAAGAAAAATAGCTGTGGGGATATGGGCAAATATGATTTTAATGGTATACTGCTACTTGTTCTACGATATTCATTTTATTTCAGATAAAAATATTAGGGAATCTGGTCACAGTCCAACAGTGTGAAAAGAAATCCACAGACAGTCAGGTCCCCCTCTGCCATCCCATCTGATCAGAAGAGCAGACTTTTCTCTGTTACCTGAGCTCAGCTCCTAAATAACCCTGAGATTTCTGCTGTTCTGAGCCAGCGTCAGCCTTACAGTCACCAGCAAGGAAGCAATCTGCTGTTCATTCCTGAAACCTCAGGGAACTGCCTTGCTGCCACGCTTCTGCTTGGACAATTTCTGTGCTGCCAAGTTGGCAAGGCATCTGGTTTGAAGGCATGTGGGTGGAGATACCCTTCTTAGGAGGAGCCCGAGGGAGGTTTGGAGAGAAGAAGAGGAAGTGAAGCCTCATTGGCAATTCAGACAAGAAGTCATTTCAGGAGATACAATTAATCCATAGTTTAGGAATGAGGCAAGCTAGCCATTCCTGGAATGTATTACTTCAGATTTACACCTAGCTGGGATTCCCATGCACTCAAAAGTCAGACAACAGAGAATTGCTAAGGAGTTATCAACACCAGAGAGCACTTAGAGATTATAGAGTAAAAGCACTGGGTATGTTTTAAAAAATCCCCTTATACTCTTCCCTGTCTATGAGGGTCATTCTTTGTACAATATCTTGAGATTATAAAGTGTAAACTCGCATTCCTTTGAGGAAGGTACGATGACAACAATCATCTTACAAGTGAGGAAACTTAGGCTGAAAGATTCAGCAACTTTCCTAAGATGACACAAGAAAGATGAAACAACAGCAGCCCATGCCCACGGCATTCTCACTGATGCTCATGGCTCTTCTCTTTCAGGATTTCTCTTCTCACTTAGAGTCTGGGGTCACGACAGTGAGCTACAAGGGGTGGCTGTCATGTCCTCCACTTTCTGTGTCATCTCATTTGGTCCCTCAGGTTACTTAGATATAGCATATCTAGACTTGGATATACTTGGCTGAGAAAAATAGTATGTAGTGTTGGCTGCATCCTCACAGTTAATATAGTGTATGATACATAAAATATTTAATGTTTGTTCAGTTAACAGATGAATAAATGAATGTTTTGTGCTTTCTTTAACCTCAAATGGTTAAGTGCAAAGGTAAAGGTTTATGAAACCCCTTTCTACTGTTCTGACATTTATCCTTAGCACACCATCTAGCATCAATCATTTACTTTCTTCCTAAGAAAGATATCAGTATACAAACTCCTGGTTCCACTTCTAAAACTTTAAAATGGAAACATTGCTGGCCACCATGTAGCACAACACAAATTAAATCATATGCAAGTGAGACCTAGATTTACAAGGGCTAATTCCATACAGAGAATTTCCATAAGGGAAATTTGAAGACCTGCAGAAATAAGGAGGTGATTGAAGATACTTAATGTACTATCCTCACCATCAGTGGGCTGTACAAAGCACAAGTTGTTGCTGGACAGACAATAATGCAGCAAAAGCCCAGAAAAAAAAATGCAGCCCTTTGAACTCAACTGCCTAGAAGAATTCTTCATTCAGCCAATCTGAAAGTAGTAAGACTCTGAAATAGATATGAATCACCAGCAGTTACTTTAGAAAAATAGAAAATAAACATAATCCTAAGTAGTATAACTTCTATAGCCAAATGATTTCATATTTCCCTCACTCTTTTGTTTGCTTGTTTGTCTAGCTTTGGGAATTAACAATATTGCTGGTGTTATTACCAACTGCAAAAAATAAAAGATAAGAAAATAGAAAAATCACAAAAAATAAAGTTCATGCTAATTCCCACCAAAAAGATAAATTAACATATTAATTAATTTCATTCCTCCTCACCTCTATTAATAGACACATATATGACTATACATCATGTATATGCATTTGAATATGTTAATATTGAACATTCTATTCTATAAATTTCCTTTTTCTTTTTGGTACCGGGGATTGAACTCGGGTCCTTGTGCTTGCAGGGCAGGTAGTGGAACCACTGAGCTAAATTCCCGGCCCTTATGAACGTCCTTTTTAAATGATATATAATACATATTTAAAACTCAACAATTATAAATATACATCATCATTCTAATGGTTACTGTACTAAATTTTTATTCTGTGAAAGAGTTCACTAAATGTATTTGGAGTTCACTTCGTAAAAGGACAGTGGAGAACATATTTAAACTAATTTTCCTAGGTAGTTTGCTAAGCACAATGCAGTTGGACACTTTAATCCTTCATTTACTCATTCAGCTGAACATCATGTACTTGGCATTATGCTGAATACAGAGAAAACAAATAAAAAGATAAGAGAGAGATGTTAATAATTCAGAATCTTGTTAGATAAACTAGAAATTGGACAATTATAATGCAACATCTTAAGCCCTATAGAAAAGGGCAGTACAAAATCTCTTGAAGACCTCCCAAAAAATGGAATAAGAGGAGATATCTGTAAGAGAAGATGATGCTTGAACTATCTCTTGACTTCTCTATATTGGTGGAACCCCTAGACGTAGGCACACTAAGTAGCTCTTTCAGGAAAGACAGAAGCTAGTGTCTAGTGAGTGCTCAACACATATCAAGCACATCATTGTTGAATAAATTGATAAGATAATGGAAAAGAAATCTTCCATAATAACAATGTCATCCAGTGACATAACTTTTGCAGAGCCTCAGCCCAAATAACATACTGTGTTCCTCTTCAGTGCCCACTCCAAATATTATCTAAAACCTCCAAGCTTTTGGGAATAACTTACTTGTTGATGAACAGTTACTTAAATTGTTGGTAAATAGTAATATTATAGCTTCCTCTTATAGAGTATCAACTAAGTATTATTTCTAACACTCCTCACATCCTCACCTTGTCACAAGATCTCCATTATATTGACCAGAGGCTCCATGGCTGAGTGACCAACTGATCAATATGTGAATCTAGCTCTTTCTGAAAATGTAACCCTTTACCATACTGTGCTGCCTATGATTCACAGACTGCATTCAGTTTGACATCTTAATTGATTTCCATAAATTTTATGTTGGCCAAGACAGGCTTAAAGGCTCCCATTTTAGACAAGGAAAGGGATCTTCAGAAAAACTTGCACAATTTGTCTAAACTCGCAGCAACATTCACTAACAGATTCCAAATATTAAAAAAGTTTTTCTTCCACTGGTCCACATTATCACTAGCCACTCTCAGCATATTGTTATGTCTGGAAAAATTACTGATGTGCTAGAAATCAGAGCAGAGAATTTAGTTTGCCATCTAGGGACCAGGCCACATGACCACCTTCACCCAAGGCCTCTTACACTGGTAGATCTGTTTGCTTCAAAAACAGTAAGGACCCAAAGAGTCCTTTTAGAAACCATAGCCTTCACAATGAAATTCTTATGAAATAATAACAGCTCTTTATTGGTTTAAAAAATGAGGTCTTTCTATATTTTGATTATGCTTAGATGTGTATATAGTCAACTTTCTGTGTCCCTGGATTTACTCTTAATCACATATTTCTGCAGCCTTTAGAAGGCTTGGGCTCTGGAGTCACATCATGATCTATTAGGAGTTAAATGAATTCCTGAGAATTCTATATTCCCGGCCTCAGGACCATCTGTACCTACAGGCTACTTAGTATGGGATTATAAAAACTCATCTTTGCCCGAAGGTAGGATGAGGAGGTGTACTCTACATTCTGACAAGATCTGGTTGAGTCTGGGACTTCAGCAAATTAAAACTTAATTGGCTTCTCTTTTTTCTTACGCTACCTCACCAAATCCCTCATAGTGTTTTCTCATTACTAAAGCATTTCTTTGATAACACATTTCCATTAAAATCCTTAGCTTAATGTCTTTTCTGAAAAAAAAAAACCCAACCATAATTCACTAGCTTTTATGTGATAACTAATGTCACATTTGACAGACATCCATGTTTTCATTCAATAGACATAATTTATGAAGAGGTACCACAAACCTGTCAACAAATGCATGATGAAGAAGAAAAATGGGATCGTTGGCTGATCCTTGTACTTGGGACATGGTTCCATTCATATAGATGTGCAATGCATTGTGCATGCTGCTTTGTGAGGCATCTGCTATGCCGGTAACTGGGCTAGCAAATCCTATTGAGAAAAAGTAAATCAAAAATCATTTAGCTTACCTAATAAAGTCTAAGTGACTATCTTATTTGGCTTACAGCTACAAAGGAAAGCCTGATTCAAAATAAAATCAATACAAAAATGCATTGTGCTTTGGAATTCTTTACATTTTTCATACTCACTGAGTATTCAATAAATCTTTGTGGAAATGAGTGTTGTTAATTTGGATACAACTAAAGGATTAATTGAATGGAAGAGGCTGAACCAACTTGTGCTCTCCCTTCTTGCTTCTATGCATTATTCCTCATTTTGATACCTTGCTCAAGAGAAAGAACAAAATTTGTGACCTTCTATGTTATAATTTATCTTTGACAATCCTAGGGCCAGCAGGTCATATGTTTTTAACTCTGCAAAATATTCATTTTATAGTTTATTAAATTTATTCTCAAAGATCATACCAAGGCCTGATTTCTCTGTAAGTTACCCTAAGAAAATATATTTCTCTCCTCACTGGAGTTTCTTGTATATAATAACTTTTGCAAATGAATATACGTGGCATTTACTGTGCAGGCATTTTCTAAGAGTTTGACGCAACTAATTTCATATAATATTCAGAGTGATCATATCAATTAGATATGTACATTATCACAGACTTGAAAAATAAAGACTTAGGGCAAGGAGCATGTGTAAGTTCAAACAATGAGTAGAAGCCAACTGTTGAACAAACCCTGTTTTATTATTCAGCTTAATCTTTTAAATACAATTATTTGCTGCCTTTCCTATGTAATAATAAATCATATGTCATTGAGGGCAAAGTTCTTATAGTAATTAATGGTCTTCAAGTTTTTATCTTTGAGTAGCACTAAATAAAAGTTTTATAACAACATTTTATGTGTGCTCTCACATGCTTTCAAGTAGATTCCAAATTGTTTTAACCATAATTATAAATAATTTCATAGGAAAAAAATGGAAATGAAATCTATGTAATCTATGTAAATAGGGAAAGGTGGAGGGGGTGAAGGGCGCACAGTTAATGGGGGAAAAATAAGAACTAAGATACATCATGTACAGGTACAAGCACCCAATGATAAATGTAAATGTATTGTATACCTAAAATTTACCAATAAAAGAATTTTTAAAAATAATAATTTCATAGGACATAATTCAGGGATATTGCAAGTAGTACAAGATTTGAAAAATGCTAATGTAACTTTAAAAAATGTAGGCACCTCAATGCTTTGATGCTTATTATCACAGATATGAAAAATACTTAAACAAATTTTTATAAGTTGGAAAATTGTGCAGTTTTCTTTTTACACTTGACTTAGTGTTTGTGTTCTATTTTCCAAAGAATTATACCTGCTATATATTGTAGGATGGATTTAAAAAATAATTGAGGAGATAATGATCTAAATATAAAAACTTTCAGTTAGGCAAGAAGAATAAGCCCAGGATACCTCTCATGTAACACAGTGGTAATAGTTGATAGTAATGTATGAAATACTTGAAAATTGGTAAAACGGTACATCTTAAATGTTCTCACCCCCAAGGTATGACTTTTATAAGACAATAGATATGTTAGTTAGCTCTTTAGTTATTACATGCCATAAGTATAATTAATATTTGTCAACTAAAAAATAAAAAATTAGTTTATTGTACCTCTGTAACAAAGATAAGTAGATAAACTAAATCATTTTAAATTAATTTTATGTAAGGGCTAGTTTAATATAGAGTTAGCATTAAAAATGTCAATATAACAACTGATTAAAACTATGTAAATATTTATAAAATAATTTTAAAATGTAAGTGAAATTTTATTGAACATGTATTTCTTAATGAGATTACTTAAAATGGCTAAAATTAATTCTTATATGCAGGGATGAACAATTTGCATTAGAAGGATAGTTATCAATAAAAATTCTATTTAAAATTTAAAAAAACTACTGAGAAAGTGATTTCCTGAATACAAATGAGAATAAGGTGATTTTTATAATATTACTTGATTATTTCAAATCCTCTTGAGTAAAATATTTCAAAAATGATATAATTCAGGATAAAAATTAGCTTTCAAAACCTAATCCATTAACAACTCAACCCAGAATTCTCTGATGAAAGCAGTATTATATATTATAAATTTATTTGTAAACTATCCAACTGGGTGAGAAGTCATTAAAGTCATTCATGTCTCTATATTTTAAAGGGAAACAAATGTAAGATAACTCAAATTTTTTTCTTTGTATAGCCAAAGGAGGTCAGAAATAAGAAAGATACATTTTTTCCCCTTTGTAAAACCTATATAAGACACCATCTGAGAGTTCCACACTTGTTCCTCTCAAGTAACAAAATAGAGAAAATGCTGTAGATTCAAGCAATACAAAAATGTAAAGAAATTATTTTCTATTTTACTTCTTTATACAATTCATATTTTTGGTTGGTAAAACTACCTCTAAGAAAAAAAAGACAAATGATTACACCAACATCAGTTGTTCAGATTTTATTCTCTCCTGGAAGAAGTCCAATAGGAAGTTCTAGGTACTGAATAAAAAAAAAAATATAATAATAATAATAACATACAACCAGCTTTTCAAACATCTTTCATGTACTTAATCTCATCTGAATCTCAGGGATACTCATAATAAAAATATCATAATTCTTCCAAGTTTAGAGATGAGAAAACTGAAATTTCTAGCATGTAAATAAAATGTCCAAATTCACATTAGTAATTGGAGAATCAATGAGTTGAACACAATTCTGACTGGTTCCAAAACCTGTGCTTGTGCTCATTTCTATATAGCAAAGTTGAATAATTTCTGCAGTAACTTGCAGACACACTGGGAAAAATCCTTATTCTATGTTCCTGAAATAAACCTGTGAACTTGCCATTTTCAAAATCCATTGAGTTATAGAAAGGTGCACAATATGTTATTGACTCACCCTTGTTCAGAGATTTCCCATGGATAGAAAGTCTAATAAGCCAGGAGGGATCTTGTTAGCAGTTACAAATGCCAAAAATGGCTCAAAGTTCTTTGTGAAGGGCAGTGATAGCATCTGCGTCCTCTAGTGTCATGCCTCTGCTTGTGTGCTACATTCCTCTGGGAAATTTATAAACATGGCTTCAGATGAACGACAATGCGAAATTTCAATTTGCTGATCCATTTTGTTTTTTCTCTTTCATTTCTTCCCCAATACTGCCCTGGAGAATTCTTATTTGTGTGTTTTTTTTTTTAATACTGATGCTCATCTCTGATACCTGGAGACTCAGATTTAATTGGTATAAAATGGAACTTGGGCACATAAAGTTTTCAAACACCCTAAGTGATTCTTATGTGCAACCAGGGTTGAAATTCATTGTGTTTCGCTAAATTGCTCTACATCCTCTCAATCTGAACTCATGTTTCAAAAACTTTACCTCTGAATATATTATTTCCTACTTGCAAAATTTTCCTCTCCTATGTTTTGACAGTCTGAAAAACATGTTTCTACCTTTAAAATCTCGCACCACAAACTTATGCTATAAAATATTTTCTTATGATTAGCTGCTACAACCCATTTCCTTGAAAATAATATTAAAAATTAAACAACTCTCATATGACAGACACTAACTAGGCAATTTAAAAATGTTGAAAATTATCTAACAAGGTATCCTTTCTAGAAGGATGTATTATAGATGTTGTACTTTAATTATGTCTGCTAGATTTGGGGTGTGGAAAGTTAAATCTTCAGGAGAACAGAACACATTTAATTTATTTGATATAATTTGATTTGGACCCTATTTTAATCTCTTTACAATATTTCATGTAATTCGGAGATAGAACTGGAGAAAAATTTAAAAAACACAGAAAAATGCATATTAGTGCATCTAAAGATTCAAAGGAATCTTAGACACTTTTACTTATATTTGCACTAATTTACTTCCCTAGTGTGCAACTTAATTGAGGAAATATAAAATGTACAGTTTCGGAACCACAGAATGAATTTAGGAGGTTTTATTTAATGACTGAAAAATTTTAAAAGACTCATGATTTAAACTACTTACATCAGAGTGCTTGCTTCAGCAGCACATATACTACTTACATCAGAATATAAAATTGGATATCAAAAATATCTTGGAAATTAAAAGAATCATACCACAGTGGGGTTGTGGGGAAAAAGGAACCCTTTTCCACTGTTGGTGGGGCTGTAGACTGGTGCAACCACTGTGGAAATCAGTATGGAGATACCTCAAAAAACTAGTATTAGAGATCCCATTTGACCCAGCTATTCTCCTGCCTGGTATCTCCCTAAAAGAATTTTTAAAATCATAACACAGTGATATGTGTGCATCCATGTTCATAGTGGCACAGTTTGTAATAGCCAAAACTTGGAAACAGCCCAGTTGCCCATCAACCGGAAACCGGATAAAGAAGATGTGGGTTTTTTATAAAATGGAGTATTACACAGCCATAAAGAATGAAGTACAAATTCCCAGTGATGAATGTCATCATATTGTATACCTAAAATGTACCAATAAAATTAATGAATTTAAAAATATCTTGGTCCTAAGCAAGTTCTTAGTTATACTGGAAGAATTAACTTCCTGTCACTTTCCACTTCTCTCAAGTAAGGTACCCATAGATGTAATTAATTAGTATTTTTGTTTATTAGAAAATGCTTTTAGTTTTAACTCAGGAGAGTCCTTCAATTGTGAAGAAAAGGCAGTGAAGCAAACATTATGGTGTGTGAGTGTTTCGTACCATACTATTTTTATTCAATGGCTGAGGTCCTAGATGGTCTATAAATTTTGTGATTTTCAAGTGTGTGATCTCAGAACCAACAGCATCACCTGTAAACTTGTTAGAAATTCAAATGCTATAGCCCTCACAGAAAGCTACTGAATCAAAAAGTAGGATGGAACTCATCATGGATGTTAACAAATCTTTCAGATAATTGTAATGCAGACAATTGGGTTTGAGAACCACTGCTATAATTATTTTCATTGTTTGCACAAAGACAATGGTGACTAGATCATCATTAGTCATAGCTAT